GGCTGCGTGAGAAACTGGGCTTCTTCCATTAAGAAAACCTCTGTAATAAGTATTTATGTACCATCCTGATAATACTGGAACCAGGCATGAATACTTACATCTAAAATGCACTGTATTTACATGTCTCCTGCAGTACATCTCTTGTGCAAGTTTGTGCAAAGAATAGCCAGTCTGTCTCCTTGAAGTAACAAATCTTTGCAGGCGTTTCCTTATATGTACCTTTTAAAGGGAATACTCCTCTGCAGGGACTCCTTTTGCACTCTTGTGATTAATATTTCTATAATTAGAATAGTTCAGTTCTGAATTTATAACTATCTACAAACATAATTTGGAAGCTGACGCTAACTTTTTCTGAGCTACAAATGCATCCTTATGGCGTATATGCAAAAAACGTGTAGTCTCTGACCTGTCAAACTTTTTGACTTAACCTCTTCCGAATTTTGCAGACTAGTCCCTGGAAGTTTTTAGTACTAAAAAGACAAAATCCTTGTACCACAAACCCATCCATCTGTCCTTCCATTGAGTACCTCTGAACTTCTCCAAATTCCAGGAACAACCATTTCTGTCATTCCAGTGATTTCTCAGTTGACTGAGTCAATCTTCAACTAAATTTCAGGGCAAAGCTTTGACTGTCCAGTTCTCATGCTAATATAGTCTTATAGGAACTAAATGATAACTAAGGGCTGAATTACAACTCTGGTTACTCGCACACCAGATGTCTTGCATATATAACTTACTACACTGTTAAGAAGTTTACCTCTCTGCTCTTTTCCTTTCTATGAACACCTGGTAATACTGTGTGCCTTTAATTTGTTAGCTTTAAAACAACCTAACGATTTTACACTGCCACTTATTACAAATTTGGTTAAAAAAAAAAAGTTGTTGAAGAATTCAAGTAATACTTTTTCTTCCTAGTGCCTAGTGCTGCAGTTGACATCTGTTAAAAGATAACCTAATTTTCTTTAAAATTCCAGTCATCTACTCCATTTGTAGGAGTCCAGGAACTTAAAGCTTTTCATGATACTGAATGATTTGTATCTTCTTCCTCTTTTTTCCTATCAAAGTTGGCCACGTGTAGCTATGAAGTATGTTCATGACAGTCTTTTAACTTTCTTACCTGCTTGTTGGCCAAGACTACATTCCACTTTTGCATAAGTGATCATTTGATCTTCATTTATTTACGGTTCATCTCTTTGAAACAGCAATGTGAAAATAGTATTTAACTTTTATAAATGACCAGTCTTTTTACAGGTCTGTTTTATACCGAGTAGACTAGTTGTCCGATCTGCGCCATCGTGTCCAGCGCGTGCAGTGGCCGCGGGAGGGCTCGTCTCCCTGTGCAGCTCGTGAGTGTTTGTCGTGCTACTGAGCTGTGTGTGGAGGAGCAGCTTCCTGTTGATAACAACACACCTTCCAGCACAGCTGCTCAACAGATCTGTTTGCAAAAAGAATGCAGTGTTAAATGAAGAGGCCAGTATTTCATGCTGTGAAACCTGTGCTGAAGGAAAGTGTGTGAAAGATGTTAGTGTTAAGGCACTCGTTTGCCTAGTACCATGTGCAATTCATGTGCAGAGGTCCTCAGTGTTGGTAAATCTCTTCTTGGCTTGATGTTCCTGCTCGGGCACTTGTATAGAAATCTGACCTGGCAGAAGCTCTTCAAAATGCAGATGTTCAGATCTGATTGAACTGATCTTTCAGTGCAGGAAATAACTGCTTGTAAGTAAAGGAAATAAGATTTCTGTGTTAACATAATGAACTGGAACACTGGTTTCCCTGGACAGAAAATATTAATCATGCAACTGTTACTCGATCGTTCTGTACTACAGATCAATAAAAACAAAGCCACCTTTTGTGATGAACTTGTATAAATGAGACTTTGGTTTAAGGAACGGTGTCACTCTGAGCATCAGTCTTGCAGCAGCGAGTCTCGCTGTGCTGATCCTGTGCTAAGGGGAGGACGTGTCAGAGCAGCGCGTGGGGATGCTGTAACGGTCCCTGGGTTTGCGGCGGTCCCTGGATTTCCGTGTTCAGGGAGCTCTGATCCTTCCCTGCTCCGTGGCAGCGGCTGCAAGGAGCTGGGGGGCGCCTGCACAGGAGGTTTCGTTGAGACCCCACTGCAGTTTCCCTATATTTAATGCAGTGTTTTGACACAACTGTCTACTGCTATCTAACTGTCCTAGGCTCGAGAGGTTTTAGGTAGTAGTGTTAAATAACAAGGCCAGTAATGCTAAATTCATTAAACAAAGGCATTAATGATATCCAAATCTGTCCTGCGCAAATCATGTGTTTTCATAACACGCTTTTCCCTCCTGCTCCTCAAGCTGCCCTTTCCTCGCCCCGCTCCCCTTGCACGAGGGCTGCAGGATGATCCTGCGCGGTTGCCTGTCTCTGACCACACATTTGTCTGGATTTTTGGATCTGTAACGAGCACTCAAACTAAAGGGCAATGCAAGTTACCTAATGCCACCTATGGGAGCCTCTGTAGCTAAAGGTCTGAGGGTCAGGATTTTCCATTGTGAGCTCCTGTTTTTTAGGAGTTTAGCAAGTCGGCCATAAAATTCTTGGCCTAAGTTAAGCTTGGAGGCCTCTGAGAGAGAGGCTTCTGCCATGATTAATCTGGTTTGCGTTTCAATATTGACCAGGTGGCTGGGATACAGCTCTTGTAATCCTATTAATTGGTGGTGAGGTGAATCAAAGCATGAGTTTGCATGTTAGGCCATAAAATGGACTTGTAACATTTGATTATTTTTCACAAAAAAAAGTTTGAATGCTGATATTTCGTTTAAAAGTCTTTCTAGTACCATGAATGTTGTTTTGATCTCTCAAAGGAGGCAATAACACAGGTGTTGACACCTTTCTGCTTCTCCAAAGGAGCTTTTTATGTGTTTGTACCAAGATTCCATTTTTATATCTTAAACTGTAAAACAGCGGGTCCAGAAACAAGATGAAACTGCTATCAAGGTAAAAGCAAGGCTGCCGATTCCATTCCTCACCTCAGCGTGCTCAGAAGAGAAGTTTTGAGCAGGATTTTGTCGATGGAGGTTTCGGTAACTGCGGATTCCTTCGGGAGGAAGGCAGGGAATCCCGTGCGGGACTCGGGGCAGGTTCTCGTGTGCTGGGAGGCGCCGGGAGGCGCCGAGAGGGGTCGTGGCCAGTCTTGGTACTTCGGCAATTCCATGAAATTATCCGGAACCAGTACGACTTCCATCTGCTGTTTAGTCTCCGCTAGTTCACGTTGCATGTTTACTTTAAACCAAATCTTTTTTGCTAAGCATGGTGCTTGTATTGGTTTAAATAAAATGTTTAATTAAACGGCTCTGTCCCTGTGTCAATTGCAAAGCAGCCCCTTTAGAGTGAGCGGGAAGGCCATGAATACCAGGCACGATTTCTTTCCCTTGAGCTGCCCAGGGTTTGCTGTGGACGGGTGGGCGTTGAGTCTCCAAGGGGCTGCTGAAATTGCTGTGGGGCCCATCCAGGGCTCCTGCCTCAGCCGCCAGCTCTGCTCCTCCTGCCAGGGCTGCAGAACCGTGTTATGGAGCACGGAGTAAACATGATCAATGCTGCTCTCTCTTTCAGGTGACAATAACTTTTTGCAAATCTGACAGCTCTTGGGTGGACCTGATGTTCAGCACATCTGGCACATGAGTGACTTCTTGGTCAACTGTGTTACTGCACTTGCCAAAAGCTCTGGAAAAGTAGCTAAGCCGCAGTGGAAGAAGAGGAGCAGCTGCTTAAAGGTGTGTGTGGGAGGAAGGCCAGGACCGAAGAGCCCTCCTGGCAAAGAGGGCCCCTGTGGAGTCCTGGGGCACCCGGCCGTTTGCTGAACGTGTCCCTTGCAGTAGGGCAGCTGGCTGCTGCTGCTGCTAGTTCCTGAGGGAGGAAAAGCCTGAGCTGACTGAAAGGCTCCGTGGGTTTCAGCGCAGGGGCCGCCGAACTGCTGCGTGCTGGGAGCTGCGTACGAACACGTTCGTAACTCGGGTCTCTCCTTGCCCCAGGGGATCGGGTTCTCCAGGCTCTTTTGCAACGGTCCCTTCTTCCAGTCTTGGTACTTCTGCCCCCAGGTAATGTGGCTGCCCCGTGGGGCGTCCCGTGGGGACCGTGGTGGGGCTTGGGGACAGGCAGGGCAGCAGCTGCAGGCAGGGAGACGGGAGCAGCAGGAAGGCGGCGGGACCCTCCCTGCGGACCTGCTGCTCCCCACGGAGCTGCTGCTCCCCACGGAGCTGCGCCGCTTCCCTCCCCGCTCTGTGGGACTCGGCCCCGAGTGCTGCGTAACGCGCGCCTGCCGCGTCTGTCATTGTCACCGCTTTGGGCACCAAACCGGGAGAGGGGAAAGGGGCGCGGGGCGGACGATGCCCCGTTGAAGGAACAGGGTGTCGGCGTCCTGTGCCTGGGGCCGAGCTCTGGAAGGCAGAAACGCAGCAGAAATGCAGGGATTGCTGCCCCAGCTGAGCAAGGAGCGCGAGACCGAGCGTGTCTTTAGGTAACGTCCCGTTCTAAATGTCACTCGTTGGAAAATGCTGCCGGATAACCGGGAGGCGGACGTGCCGCCTCGCTCCCTGCTGCGGTCTGCCCGGCCATCTGCTCGGCCAGCAGCAAATCCGGGGCTGATTTGTGAACGTGATTAATTCAGCGAGGCTGCCGGATCAAGGGATCAGCCAGAGACAATGTTTGTGCCCTGCCTCCAGCTGTGAGCGTGCAATCGTTTGCTTCCGAAGCACAAAGCAAACTGTACGGCAGCATTACTGGGAGAATGGGAAAAGTGATCCGCTCCAGAGCCCCGTTTCCCTTCCGTGGCCCCATTCCAGCGTCCGTCCGTACAGTCTCCCACACGGCTGCTGGCCGCGTCGCGGGCAGAGCTGTTCCCCTTTCGCAGGCAGCTTCTGCGTGTCCCGGTGCCGCCGCTGCTTCCCGCTTCCCTGCTGGACTTAGGTCATGAGACCTGAGAGCTCCTGCCTTAACGCAGCCCTGTCACCCTCCCCGCTGCTCCCGGAGCGGCCCTGATGCCGCCACGTCCAGCCATGCCCGTGTTTCTGCTACGGCAATTAGCAGTGGGCGTAATGAACACAGGAGGCTTCTTTAGATGTCATCATTGGGTACCAGAAGCGCTGCCACCTCGCAGCATTAGTGCTGGGGTTTCAGCTTCTCCCTTCACTCAGACTGTCACCACTGTGCTGGTTTCTATTCGCATGAGAATTTAAAGTTACTCTCTGAAGAGCCAAGCCTAAGGATGGGGTTTTCACAGACCCGCTGATGCAGTTAGGCTGATGCAGAATGTTTCTGAAAATCTCTCAACTTGTTAAGGAGAGGTCAAAACCTGGAACCCAACTGTAAAACAGGTTTTGGAGAAACAGTTTTCGGCCCTTTGCCTCTCCGCTCGCTGGTGCTGAGCCCTAGGCCCTCGACTGCAAGGATATCCATTAACGGGAGCTCCGCGAGGCAGGAGGAAAACAAACCCTCTTGCTTAAAAGACAGGCTGAGCATTTAGCCCGTACCGAGGAAAACCGTTGCCATCTGACAGTAGATATTGGGGAAGGATTGAGGCCACGAGTGGATTCCACAGCCAGACGTGGTGAGACCCCGGGCAGTGTCTGCGCATTGCGATCGCCTCTTAAGTGCGGCCCTTGGTTCTCTTGGGATTTGCCTTCGCCTGCAAAGGGGTTTCTGACTCCGGTTTGTGCATGGGGCCGTGGACATCACAGCGGAGGCTGCGCGGGGAGGCTAGAGATGGGCCAGTGAGCCCGTGGACGAGGGGTGTCTGCCCGTTCGGAAAGAAGCTCCGGGGATCTACTGAAGTCCATAATACTCGCTGCTGCCCTGGTATCTTTAAGTGAAATCCCTGATTTTCAGGGATGTTGTTTTTGATGGTGAAGGAAGCGGTTCTCCCACATTTCCCCCCGGTAATTCCGAGAATTGCCCTCGGTGCCCCCGCAGCTCCCTGCACGGCCCCGCTCCTCGCCGGCGTCGCCCGTGAGCAGCCCGAGTGCCGATACCGCCGCTTCCTGAGAGGACAAGCGATGAACTGAACAGCTGCCAACAGCTTCCCCCGGGATTCAAATCAGGACTTAACTCGGGGAGTCCAAAAAAAAGGGAAGTGCATTAAAAGCTCTCAGCCATCTCCAGATCTCCACTGTATCTTCCTTACACAGATCTTTTAAAGCTGTTTGGGGATTTTTTTCTTGGAGGTTTTTTTGCAAAGAGGAAGGGGAGGCTCCTGACAGGCAGCTGTGTGCTTAGATCCCAAAGAAACTAATGAAAGGAGGATTGATTAGTTCCTTTGCTACAGACTTTAATTTCTGCCTGTGCTATCTTGGCAGTCTATAATATAAGAGATCCTTCAATGAGCAGCTCTTAGTGGTGCAAAATTACGGCGCTCTCCCGTGTTTCCTGACAGGATGCGTGTGGCTCTAGCATCCCCTTTTTTTGCTTTTCCGAGGTAAACGAGGCCTTAGGAGAAGTCCGAGTAACCATGGAGTGCAAATAGCCAATGCTGGGTCTTCCAGCAAAGCCCTGCAGCCTCAGCAGCAAGAAGGGCCCAGAAAGGGCCCCAGAAAGTGGGTTTTAGACCTGAAGCTCAGCTTGGCTCCTCTGGGAAACAACAGACTTCCAAAGGGCGGCAAGTTCACTACGGTGTTTCCTCGTGTTGGGGTGGAGGAAATAAAACTTCCCGCTGTTAGTGTGAGAGCAGACGAATTGCGTGTGAAGCTTTCTGGCAATGTCACTGCCCAAACGCGACTTATTTGTCCGCTGTTAGTTCTGTGGAAATCGTCCCTTGTGAGGCCTGTCCGGGAGAAGCAGCTGTGGAGGCGCTACCCGACTCTCTTGCAGGTTTTACTGCTTTCACAGAGAATGACTTTTATGTAATCCCGTTGAAAACAACTATGTGATGTTCTCCTCGTACTATTTGTTTTCTCCTGTTGCTGTTTCCTTTCAGGCAGACCCAAATCATATTGATTTGGGATCGCGGGAACTCGTTTTCCTCCGGGGCAGGCGCAGCTCTCCGTGCTCAGACGTTTCCTCCTCGCGCACATTCGCCGTCTCTCTCTTTTTTTCCAGACATTCTTCACACTTTGTCGTATCAAATCATCTGCTCCGAAGCGGTATCATATTTATTGCTATCACACATCTGTCCGCCACATTTCGACCTGAAGAATATAAGTTCTTTTCATCTAGCTCTGGGGCAAATTTTGTTTTCAAGCCACTTTTTTTACTGTTTTCTTGTTTCTTGGGTTTGCAGATGCGTGTGAGTCAAACATTAGACCAAATCCATATATGTCGTATTAATAGAATACAATAATGTTAGGGGAAGTTCATATCAGCTGTATTGATATAACACGATATTAATGTTAGGCCTAGTTCAATATATGGCGTATTAATAGAATACAACATCAATATGCTAGGAAAAGCCCATATATCCCATATTGACGAAATACAATATTATATGTTAGAAAAAGCCATAACAACACATTAATGTGTTAGGCCAAATATAGCACAGAATCATAGAATCGTTATGGTTGGAAAAAACCTTCAAGATCATCGAGTCCAACCGTAAACCCATCCCCACCGTGTCCCTAAGGGCCTCATCCACCCGTGTCCCGGACACGGCTGGGGGCGGCGGGTCCCCCCCCTCCCTGC